GGATAAGCCGAGGATAAGCGGGAATCACGAAGGTATGGTGGGATTCTGGGGTCCCCCCTGGGGGATAAGCCGATGATAAGCCCAGGATAAGCCGAGGATAAGCCTAGGATAAGCCGAGGATAAGCGGGAATCACGAAGGTATGGTGGGATTCTGGGGTCCCCCCTGGGGGATAAGCCGAGGATAAGCCCAGGATAAGCCGAGGATAAGCCTAGGATAAGCCGAGGATAAGCGGGAATCACGAAGGTATGGTGGGATTCTGGGATCCCTTTCGGGGGATAAGCCGAGGATAAGCCGAGGATAAGCCGAGGATAAGCAAAGGATAAGCCTAGGATAAGCCGAGGATAAGCGGGAATCACGAAGGTGTGGTGGGATTCTGGGGTCCCCCCTGGGGGATAAGCCGAGGATAAGCCCAGGATAAGCCGAGGATAAGCATAGGACAAGCAAAGAATAAGCCTAGGATAAGCCGAGGATAAGCGGGAATCACGAAGGTATGATGGGATTCTGGGGTCCGTTTTGGGGGATAAGCCGTGGATAAGCCTAGGATAAGCAAAGGATAAGCCGAGGGTAAGCGGGAATCACGAAGGTGTGGTGGGATTCTGAACCTTTGAGCCACGATCCGCGCCGCATCCCGTGAGTTGAAGTGGTCTGAACTGAACCAAGTCCCCTGCGCAGCAGGCCTTTGCAGCAGCTACGACAGCTTGATGTTTGCAGTTTCTGGCAGCCCAACACGATCTGAAGCACCGCTTCTGCTGGCCCCTCATCCCTAACTGCCCCTGCATTGCCCTTTATCAGCAACCGTCTTGGACCGTCTTGGACGCGATGCTTATCCTACGCTTATCCGTCTCCCTTCTCATCCATAGCTTATCCTCAGCTTCTCCAGCACTTATCCTCTCCAAACATGATAAGCTAAGGATAAGCAAACACCCCCCCCCTCCGAGACCCCCCCACTCCACTTCATGATTGAACGCAAAACCTCTGGCTTGTCCCAGTTGTGTGAGCGTAATTAAATTTTAACCCGCAAGACAGAGGCCCCTTGAGGTTCCAACTTGCCCATTGCTTTCCCAAAGGAGTTAGTTATAGTTCTTCGGCCGCTCCAAGGCCCAAGCACAGAGCAGAAGCGCTTAATTAATAATTAGTGCTTGGAAAGAAGGTAGGCCTCATCTGAAGTTCCCGGCTGTTGAGCTTCGGCTCGAGGGCGCGGCGCGGGACTCCGAGCCGCAAAGCAAAGACAGATGAGCACAGCGATGACAACACTCAAGAATCTACTTGCGATTGCGCTCATGTGCTCTGTCCGGACCAAAAACTCTAAGACAGACCCCCAAAAAGCTGAGGAGAATGAAGTCTAATTAGCACCGCAGGAGGGAAGAAACAGAGCCCCAAAGCCAGACCAAAGGAAGCTGCCCCTACACCCAAAGCCCCTACGTTGGATGGACGCATGACATAGCAACAATGGAACCCGTTGTATCTCCTTCCAAGTCACTTGCAAGTGGGTTCTACCCTACATGCAAGTGGGTTATAAATCGGCTAACGACTTATATCTTGTTGTGGCGAATAAATACATATATGCACCTGCATCTGGTTATAAGTTCATATATGTTTCGGTATTGTATGTTAGAGCGTGCTATGTTATGTTATGGTTTTAGAATGGATTTTGTTAAGTGTTTGGAAGTCTCTATAAGTTGATTTAACTTGGAAGGCCCACAGAGGGTAAAAATACTTAGCCAAACTTAGCTAGTGGACGTGTTTTAGAGCGTTTATTTATTCGAGGAAGTGTAGACATTGTTTTGGGCATTTACTGGACAGCTTTTGACCGACATGCGCTATTTTTAGCATTGCAGACACGGCATCGTCAAAGCTTCGTTTCGTCAACCGGCGCCGCAGAGGAGCACCGGGACTCGAGCACGCAGACAGCTGCTGCCACACAGAGACCCTATATACGAGCAAACTCTTGGCCAGCGGAAGAGTCCTCCATGATCTTTTCGGCGGCACTAACAGAGAATGACAAGGAACAAAATTATTTTCTGCACCTATGTACCTCTTCTTAACAACACTCGTCTTGCTATGACTTCAAAACTTTACGACCGGAACGTATCAGGAGCAGGGGTCCAGGTTTAGGGCTTAGGGCTTTAGGCTTAATAGGGTTCATACTTCAGTTTTAAAGTTTAGGATTATATGGAGTTCCAGTGCCTGATCTCAAGGTTTAGCGTTTAGGATTGCGGGCTCTATAGGGGTGCCGGTTTTTAGGATTTGGTCATTACGGCCTGAGGCCTTTCCTTTTCAGCAGGGAATGTGCCAGTGCTTCCTTATCTATCCATAGGAAATGAGATTTATCAAAGACAGATTACTTCTCAGCGCTTTCTGCTACAGCAGAGGCCGACCCGTAGGCGGCGATCCGCAGCGATCCGTAGCGATCCACAGGCCTTGATGGGACTGTTATAGGCGATCCGCAACTCCGTAAGCCAAAAGGGTATAGAAACAGCAGCGGCGATCCGCAGCGATCCGCAACAATTTAACACACTGCAAATTCCTAACGTGACACATATGCGACCATGCCGCAGCACCTGGCCAAACAGGCTTCTCTTCCAAGCCGTTTTTTTGCTGCCTCGCGAGCATGGCAGCCACTGCTGCGGCATCATAACCGCTGTGTCCCAGGTTGAAGGTCACGTCGTCTTGTCCCTTGACATGTTCCAGCTAGATGCCGAGATAGACATGGGCATCTTCAAATGGCGTCGCAAAGACGAACATCAGCATGTGCGAGTGGAGTTGCAGCAACGCTATCTCTACCTGCCTCGGTACTGGCTGCTCGCTAGTCGAAGCCTGCTCACGCTGGGCTGACCAAAAAATCAATCAATGGAAGCGGCTCTAGCCGCTGCTGGCATGCCATTTCACAGCGGCACTTGCCGCTACCTACTTTCCACTGGAGCGGCGCTTGCCGCTTTTCTCTTGCCAGCATGTCAACCTGAACGTACGTTCGTCCGTGGCGGCCCTCGCCGCCGCATGCGGCAGCATGCCAAAAGTCGCTGTATAGCTCTGCAGAGCAAACCAAATTGTAGCTCCAAATAGCTAGTTTTCTACGCACACCATGTGATACGCAGCAAAACAACGCAAAAAACTTCGTTCATGCTTCAACCCTGTATACTGAAGCAACAAAAGCCAAATAAATACTTACCAGCACTTACAAAAACTTAGCAAACTTAACCTCTACCTACTTGTATCTCTCTCTATGTTTTTACAATGCCATTACAATAAGCGGGTTCTCTATCCTTTACAACGCTTGCTATCTCCCCTATGTCTCCATAAGTCTGCTAAGCAGCTATGAGTGCTCCTAACCCCTCTATGTTCTGCGTCCATCCAACGTAAACCCCTGACTTAGCCTGCACTGCGGGCTCGTCCTTGCTAAGTGGGAGGGAAAACGCGGGAGCCAAAAAACCCCTAAACCCTAAAGCCAAAAACCCTAAAGCCCTAAAGCCCTGAACCCTAGACCTACACCCCTAAACCCCTAAAGCCCTAAACCCTAAACTCCAAACCCCACCTGGACATATTCAAAGTCATCAAAAAAAGCCCTTAGGGTCCCTAAACCCTAACCCCCTAACCTCCTAAACCCGAAGACCCGCTTGAAGACAGGAACTTCTCGGGTCCTTTCTCAAAGCCGCAGAGGGGATCCTCGCTGAAGCTGGAGAGGCCCGCATCATAGGGTTTAGGGGGTAGGGGATGTGGGGGATGTGGAGATGTAGGGGTTTGAGGGGTGTAGGGTTTAGGGGTCTAGGGGTTTAAGGGGTTTGGGGGTCTAGGGGTTTAAGGGGTTTAGGGATGTAGGGGTTTAGGGTTTATGGATGTAGGGGTTTAGGGTTTGGGGATGTAGGGGTTTAGGGTTTAGGGATGTGGGGATGTCGGGGATCAGGGGTTTAAATTTTAGGGTTTATTTAGGGTTTAGGGATCCTTGCTCCTGCTGAAGCTCGAGAGGCGTCGATTAGGAGAAACGGCACTTCACTAATCCCTCAGCCACACTTTCCGTGGTACCTTTACCCATAGGCTCCATTATGGTTCCTTTTGGGGTAGTATATTTAGGATCCTAAAAGGTAATCCCAAAGGAGCTACTTTGGAGCCATTGGGGTAGTCATCGGGAATCACCTCAGCTTGATGAGTGAATGAGCCTTGCCGGGTTTTCACAAGAGTTTTCACATGGTGGGTTGAGGGGCTTGGGCTTTGGGCCACGCAAGGGTTCATATCCAGAGGTTAAATAAATAGCTGGCATAAAGCAGATAGTCCCCTCCCATACTGCTTGTACTAGAACACACCTCCATACCCTAAACAGGCTGTTGATGTGTTGATGCGCCTACAGGAGGTGTTGGAGTTCGGATTTTGCCTTGCTTGAAGAACTGAAATACATTGAAGTACTCGTATGGTATCTTCTTTTTAAAGTGTGCATTAAACAACATAGTGCATGATCTTGCTTCAGGGTAAGGATGACTGTGCCACCCATGTGATAACATCGACACTACAGTCACTAAAGCTCATGTACTTAAACGTCAAGGCTGCTATCACACATGTTGCTATTTCTTAGAATGTTAATTGCCCGCAGCTTCCATAACTCTTGAGTAAGCGATTACACCTCGAACCATAGTAGGGTTCCCGCTATGCATTGAGGGATATTCGGGAAAGTCTATAGTTCTGTTTTGGGGGAATGAACTTAAAGCGAACCGGCACAGCTCCGCCTGTTGCGCGGCGCTTTCCTTTACTGGAGCAACGCACTGCAACGCACTGCACGGCCAAGGCGCCGTCCTTTTGACGTCTTGCGCTACAGGTTCCTGAAGGTCACTTTTGCTGCTTGGGCAATGCACTGCAAGGACCTGCAGGCAGCACTGCAAGAGATGGCGGCGGAGCTGCCAGATGATCCCGAGCACGAAGCATCGCCTACAAGCACATCCAGCACAGCACAGTAACGCACGCCACTGCCGGCAATAGCCTTTGATGGACACATTTGGCACCGGTTGGCAGCCAGTCTTCCATACACCTCGTTGCGTGTGATGCGGGGCCTCTCCCGCACAAACGCACCGAGGGTGCGCACAGCCCAGAGAAGAGACGCATTGCACCGCATCGACGGGAGGCTGGCTCTCGTATGGATTTTGGCGCTGGGTCCATTTTGCCAGCTTGCGCCGCCCCTCAAATTTAACCCTTGTACAAGCACGCATTGCATTGTGGAATTTCTTTCCTGAAACCACAACGCACATCACTGCAAGTAAAACAACACTTTGTGCTTCTTGCCTGTGCTGTCTTTTGGCTGACATGTGCATGTCATGTTCCAGCAACGCAGCACTCAGCAGCGACGCTTTTTCATCTAGCCTGCATGCATTCACGTAGCTCACACTGTGCCGAGCTCGCATTGCTTCGCTTAGCTCTGCCTCACGACAATACCCTCAACTGCGTCCTCAGGTCACGAACCAATACCCTGCCTGGGGCCACCCTTTTGCATTTTCTTGGAGGATCCGGTGACTTACTAATGTAGGCAATACGAGGAGTTAAAGTATTAAAAGAGCCCGAATGGGGATCCTAATTGGGGTTCTTGTTAAGGGATTTAATATAAATTAACACAATAAAGACACCATATATTATTTACTTTAGATCCTTATATTATGCTAACTTTAATTAAGTCCGTTAGCAAGAACTCAGTAATTGGGGCTATGGCACCTGCACCTCCAGGAAACAGCTATTTTTTAAGTTCCCAACATGTGTATGTGTAGGGATCACCTTCTTAAAGCTGAATGGTGGGGAAAGCGCACCTGTAAGACATTACTTTTTACGGGGACACTGAAGAACCTGGTATGTAGCGTTATAAAATTCAAAACTTGTAACAAAAAATAGAGAGCAGCAGAAAACCCTGTTAAGCTGCTGTCAAGCCTTATAGTTACACTTAGGTCCGGAACTAAAGTGTAAGATCCTCAGGCCAGAACCCTAAACCTCTACGCCCCAAAGCCCACACCCTAAACTATGGTTTAGGGTTTAGGGTTTAGGCTTAAACCCAGAGAACCCAATACACTTTAATTAAGGAATATTCCTTAAATCATAGGGGGCGTTATTATTAGGATTGCAGTTATATTCCTTATAAGGGGGTATTGGGTTCTCTGGGAACCCGAAGCCTCTAAACCCCAATGCCCGAGAGCCTCCTGGGAGCCTGCAGCGGTTTCGAGGTGGTCGTGTCGCTTCTGCGTGGGCAAGGCCAGGATCCGGTTCTAAACCCTAAAGGGTTTGGGGGATAAGATTCCAGGGTTTAGGGTTTAGGGTTCAGGGAAACCCCGAAAACCCTAAACCCTAGAGCCCTAAAGCCCTAAAGCCCTAAGCCCTGAAACCCTTCAGTTGCCAGCAATGTAAGGCCCCAACCTTTCTTCGGGAGTACCAGACCATACCGAAGGATCATGGGACGTACTGTTGACGATAGAAATCCTGCATTACCTTAAGGATCCCAAACTATGGTAATTAGGGTCTATTCCTTAAGGGTAATGCAGGATTTGTGCCGTCAACCGTAGTAACTAAGGTTCCAGGGATTAGGGCTTAGGGCTTAGGGCTTCTAGGGTCTAGGGTTTAGGGTTTAGGGCTTAGGGCTTCTAGGGTCTAGGGTTCAGGGTTTAGGGCTCAGGGCTTCTTGGGTCTAGGTTTAGGGCCTTAAACTGGAAGGGAGACAGTGGGCGCCGTATCGCGAGGGGCCATCCGCAGGCATGTTGTTGCTATTGAAAGTGTCGCAACAGCATTGCGACGATACCGGGATGCTCTACCCAGAACTTCCAAAACCTCTTTATTAATTAGGAATACACCTTAAGTTATAGTAGGATCCCCAACATGATTTAACGTACATTCCTTGATTAAGGGATTCTGCAAGGTCTGGGTGCATTCCATTCGCCGATCAGCAGAGCGGGTACGCCGTGGCAGGCCTGAATCACGATGGCATTCGTCTCGACGAGATCAACTCCTTCAAAGTCCAGCACATGTACTTCCGCGTAAAGGTCTCTCATCACAACCACATGAAGTACAACTTCTCAGAGGAGAGCAGGGCGGGTGCTATTCATAGCAGTTGCAGGCGACGATCGCGTGATCACATGGCCCGAGATTCAGGAGTCCAAAGGGACAGTCCACGTTGAGCGGCAGCGGCAGACTCCGTGAATCCGTCATTCAGACTCAGACCTCTTCCTCGGACGTTGGCTGAAAATATACTGCCTGCCACACTGCCTGCCACTTTATTCTGTCCTCCTGCCACCTGACTCCTGGCCTCTTCTGTTCTTGATGCTGCTCAGGCTGAACCTCATCATTGATCATCTTCCCACGTTGGCCTGGGCCTTGACCTTGATTGTGAGGCATACCTCCGCCAGGAGAAGTAAGGACGGCGCCCGTGAGATCCAGTGTGGAATATGCACAGGTTCTCGAATGGTCCACGGAGGTTCTCGAATGGCCCACGGGCTTTATGGCGGATGTTTGGCGCATCTGCGACTCTCGAGGACGTGGTTTTGGGCGAAGACCGGCCTTGAGGGCTTCGGGCTTAGGGTCTAGGGTCCTTAATAGGTTCATACACCATATAGGGATCATAGTATAAGGTGTAATTATAGGGCCTTCACTTTTACGGGTTTTTTGGTCAGGTAGGTCTTAGGGTTATTGGGGTTGGTGCACCAAGAGGGAGCGAGGCCAACTCCGGGCACGTCAGCAAGGAGAACTGCGAGAGTTCGACGCCACCAGGAGCTGGTTTAGATCCTTAAGTCCTTCAGGACCAACAGACCATTGAAACGTAAGGGCCTTATATCTTTCTACTTATACTATGAAGCCCTATATGGTATATGAACCTTAAGCCGTTTTAGGGCTCATTTCGTCTTTAAGGATGGGGGAAGACTTGGGGGCAGAACCCCGAGCTCCTCCTAACATTGGTTGGGGTACGAGTTCGCGAGAGACCACGCAAGCGACGTCGCGTCGAACGCATGGAACCTTGGACGACATCTGCGGGGACGTCGGTGCCTCAACCCTAAACCCAAGCTAAACCCCAAACCCCAAACCCTAAACCCAAGCTAAACCCCAAATCCTGGGCCCTGGCCTCAAGCTAAACCCCAAACCCCAAACCCTGAACCCAACCTAAGCCCCAAACTGCAAACCCCAAACCCCAAACACCAAACCCTAAACCCTAAACCCTAGCTAAACCCTAAACCCCAAATCCTCAACTCTAAATTCAAACACCAAACCCTAAACCCTCAACCCTAAACCCTAAACCCAACCTATACCCCAAACCCCAAGCCCGAATCCCTGGACCGGCGAAGGCGGCACGGCTGCTGAGGCGGAGCAGAGGTCGCTGCCGGGGCCATTCAGCTTGCTTTTGGCTGATCATGGTTTGGAGTTTAGGGTTTAGGGTTTTAGAGTTTAGGGTTTAGGGTTTAGGGTTTTAGGGTTTAGGGTTTCGAGTTTAGGGTTTGGGGTTTTGGATTTAGGGGTTTGAGGGTTGGGGTTAGTAATTTAGGCTGATGGTTTCACCTAAACCCCGAAAAGTTGTTAAAATAATGGCCCAGGATCCAGAAAAGGCTATTAATTTTACATACTTTTCGGGTCCAGGTAGTAGTTTAGGCTGATCTTTTCGGGTCCAGGTAGTAATTTAGGCTGATGGTTTCAAGTTTGGGGTTTCGGGTTTGGGGTGTAGGGGTTTAGGGGCTTAGGGGTTTAGGGGTTTGGGCTGAGGGTTTGGGGTTTAGGGGGTTCCGGGTTTTGGGTTTTAGGAAAATTCAGGGCTTAGGGGTCAGGGTCTGGGGTTTAGGGTGTCGGGTTTAGGGATGTTCAGGGTTTAGGTTTCAGGGCTTGGGATTTGACGAGACCAACTGCCCACTATCAAACCCAAACACTTGCTGTTAAGGGCCATCAGGAGTGTATAGAAGGTACCTGCGCGGTCCTGGGTGTTAACAGAGTAGGTTTCTAAGTTTAGGACATTTTCAGGTGGCTAGTTTCCGTTATGGGAGCTTTCTAGAAGGTCTATATACCTGATAGAAGCCTTATACTATGAATCCCTATATGGCTTATGAACCTTAAATCCTTTTTAGGTTCATTTCTTTAAGGCTAAACTAAACCCTGTTGGTTGCCCTTAATGTTTTTCTGGTTGCCAGGCAGCCATAGCTTCCAGGTCTTGCGCATGTCTCTCTAGCTGCTTCAAGCTTGAGCATCAACACCATGAAGATTTTCTCGTTTAGCGCCCAGCTCGACTAAACCCTAGACCCTAAACCCCCTAATTAAACCCTAAACCCTAGGCCCTAAACCCTAAACCCTATAGACCCTTAAACCCTAAACCCTGTAAGCCCCCTAAACCCTAAACCCCCTAAAACCCCTAAACCCCTGAACCCCCTAAACCCTGAACCCTTAACACCCTAAACCCTTAAAACCCCTAACCCTAAACCCCTAAACCAGAAACCCCATAAGCCCTAAACCAAAAACCCCATAAACCCTAAACCCGATAAACCCCATAAACCCTAAACCCTATAAACCAATAAGCCCTAAACCCAAAACCCCAATTAAACCCTAGACCCTATAGACCCAAAACCCAAAACCTCCCTAATTAAACTCCTAAACCCTTAAAACCCTAAACCCCTAAACCCCTTTTGATCCCTTACAGATCCCTTTAAAGGAACCCTAAACCCAAAGCAGGCGGCCCAAAGACACGTGGCAGGCCATGGAGCTGGGTCTCGAGGCCGCCCTCTTTTCAAGAAAGCATGATGGGGGCTGTTGGGGGTTTCGGGCTTTTGGGGTTTAGGGTTTTAGGGTTTAGGGTTTCGGGGTTGAGGGATTTAGGGGGTTAGGGTTTACGGTTTAGGGTTTAGGGGTTTAGGTTTTAGGGCTTCAGGGTTTAGGGTCTAGGGGTTTAGGGGTTAGGGTTCAGGGTTTTAGGGATTCGGCGTTTTAGGGTTTAGGGTCTAGGGTTTAGGGTTTGAAACCCTATAATACCCCAAACCCTGCAACATTGAGGGGCATCGGTTGCAGGGGAAGCTCTAATTTGGCAGCCTGTGTAACGCCAAAACTTGGTTAAGGCGTACCTGTAGCTCTCTTTACCCACAGCTTAGCAGCCATTACCTCTTAATTAAAATAGGTAGAAGCCCTAAAGCTGTAGGCAATTTGAATCCCGGTAGCGATTGGGCTTCGGACCCACTGCAACCTGGCGAAAATCCCGAATAAAGGCTTGAAGCAAAACTGAGCCCTCCTAAAATCTCTACCTAAACCCCCCAAAGTAGGTAAAATAATGGCCCAAGATCCATAAAAGGCCATTATTTTACATACTTTTGGGGTCCAGGTAAGCCCTAAACCCGAAACCCGTGCAACTTCCGCGGGAGTCGGAGGCTGGGCTCCTCCTGCGCCACGTCGGCTCCTGCCCCATGAAGGATCTCGCAGAGCTCGGATACACGACCACAGGCTTATCGTTTAGGGTTTAGGGGGTGCAGGGTTTAGGGTTTAGGGTAGCGTGTCTGCAGGGTTTCCTGAAGGGTCCTTTTGAGGGTTCGTATCAGGGTTCCGTTGTGCATGGGTTCCTTCAACGGATGGGGTTTGGGGACTTAGGAGCTATTTTTCGATTTGGGAGTGGAGTGCAAGCGGTTGGCGGTTGAGGAGTTTTGCCCGAACCTGGGCGTGACTTGCGAAAAAAAGCTGCTTACATAGGAAGCTTTATGGTAGCAAGGTTCGTAAGAAGGTGTTCGGGTGCCGCAAGAAAGAGTTATAGCTATAAAAGATGTCAAAGTGATGAACTTCGCCAAAGCACGGGTAAAGGGCGGGAGTAACCATGACTCTCCACTTGACTCTAGTCCGACTTTGTAAAAGCCATGCCTCTGTACCATGTGACTGTGGGCCGGCACGAAATCGCCGTGGACCTTGCATTCTGCCCCAGCCCCGAACCCAAAACCCCAAACCAAAACCAAGGAACAGATCATAATATAGAAGCCTAAAGAATTACCAAGGCTATTTCGGGGGTTCCTGATTATGATTATCTTATACTATACCCCAAAGCCCCATTCTAATTATGAAAAATTAAGCACCTGACGAAGCTTGCTGAAGATCCGTGAGCCCGAGGAAAGAACCGTTCCAGAACCCGTACAGGAACCTCAGGAAATGAGGGTTTAGGGCGTACGGATTTAAGTTTTGGGGGTTTAGGGTTTTGGGGAACCCCTAAACCCTAAACACCTAAACCCCTAAACACAAAGCCCCTAAACCCTAAACCCCAAACCCCCAAACCCCTAAACCCCTAAACCCCCAAACTCCCCAAAACCCCCGAAGCCCCCCAAACCCCTAAAGCCCTAAACCCCAAACCCGGTGTTCAGGCTTCCGCGGGCAAGGTCTTCGGGACGCCACTGCGCAAGTTTTTCAGGAACCGGGAGGGCTTTGGGTTTTTGGGGAGTAGGGTTTTGAAAACTTTGGGTTCCGGGTTTAGGGTTGTGTGAGGGTTTAGGGTGTTTAGGGCTTTATGGGGTTGAGGGCTTTGGGGTTTACCTATAGTCTCCATTGTAGTTCTTTTTTTGGCTTAACCAAATCAAATCTGTACCAAGGATCCTAAAAGGTAACCCCCAAAAGGAAATACAATGGAGACTATAGGTAGGGTTTTGAAATTTTGGGTTCCGGGTTTAGGGTTGTGTGAGGGTTTAGGGTGTTTAGGGTTTTATGGGTTTAGGGTTTGGGGCTTTAGGGTCTTGCAGGCTGGAGCTTGGCGTTGGAGGACCAAGGGCTCCCTTGTATAATGGCTTCTACTTGCCATCATAGCCCCAATTATAATCCCTCTAAGGTTAGTTAGAAGTCTATACTTATTACCTGCTTCCTAAATCCCCCGACCCTCCAAGTAGACGGGCTTCGAAGGGTTCTATCAGGGTTCTATACGGGTTTGGGGTTCATTGGTCTTGGGCTCGGGAAGTCAACAAACTTGACAGTACAATAGCATGGTTTTTTTTCTGGAAACTCGGAGAAGCAACCATCTCTCGACCCAAATCCTGCCCGAACCCTATACCCCGAAACTCACTCTCCATCTCTCATGCATGCAGAGGTCCGGAGCGCCTAGATCGTCAATCCTAAACTAAACCCTGAACCCTAAACCCTAAGCCCTTTACACCCCTAAACTCCCTAACCCCTAGACCCTAAATCCTAAACCCTCAACTCCTAAACCCTAAACCCCGAACCAGAAGTGCGAAGCCGCATGGCGAAGGGTCGAGCTGCCGCTGTCATACGGCTGAGGATAGAAATCCTGCATTACCTAAAGGACCCTAAACTATCGGAATTCTGGCATATTCCTTATTATGGGTAATGCAGGATTTATATCATCAATCATACAACGCCTTTTTTAAATTATAAGTTTAGGGTTTAGGGGTTTAGGGTGTAGGATTACAAGACTCAGACCCTTGGATCTTTGTGAGAGAAAATATTTATGCCATGCAGAAGCTTCGAGGATAATTAAACAAGACAATATGTTGAAGCCTAGCAAGAATTAGTACGAATGTGCCAGCGCTGCAAGTCTTGGCAGACTGCCTCTTTGGCCTAGCTAGCCTTGGAATGCCAAGCGCAACTCTTCAATGAAAGCCCATTGAAAGACTCACACCCTCGACAAAGTATGACCTCCCTATTGAACTCCTTTTTTTTGCAAGCCCCAATTGAAAATTCCTTAAGGAGCCGTTTTTGAAAGGAGCGCGCCTTCAACTCTGACGGCAGCCTCACACACTGCTTCTGTCGCCCAGGCTCTCGATGCACTTGTTGCGTTTGAGTATCAACGAAAGCACCAACCCTAAGCCCTACACCCTAAACCCAAAAACTTGAAAAAGCCCAACATGGCCCCAAGCCCTTAACCCCAAGCAGCTTACCCCTTGTCAGGACGTAGAGCAGTCAGGATCTCTGCGGAGCCATATTGATTCAAGTCGTAAGACTTTTCAGCTCGAAAAAGTGACAGGTCCGAGCGTGCAGGCTTCGCTGCCCATCGAGCGCCAGCACGACATCAGCATCTTATCGGCGGTTTAGGGTGTTTGGGTTTAGGGCTTAGGGTTTAGGGTTTAGGGTTGAGGAACCCTAACTAAGGCTCCAAAGGAACTGAAAGTTTAGGATAGTAGATTTTTAGGTTAGTATTTCTGGAAATTGTATGCGACTGCATTGCATAGGGCATAGGGTACCAGGATCATCCAGGATCCCTTAGGAGGCTTCCCCACAAGGAGTGCGTGTGTCAGTGCCGCGAAAACTCGATGAAATTCCTCTCAAAACCGTCATCGGATCAAGCCCAAAACCGTCAATCCCTGAACACTTGCAGCATTCTCTACACAAACAGGTAGACTTCGCGGTGAATAATGCCTTGAACCTTCACAGGAACTGCTGTAGAACCTTAAAGGGACCTGGTATGGTCCATCTGTATATACTCTGAAGCAAACACTGAATTCTGCTCAAAAAACTCGGTGTTTGGGGTTTAAGATTTAGGGTGATCACTCCCAATAAAGTCTTAGGTTGTCCTTAAGTGCAGCCTGTTCAAAGCCCCTATAGGAGCATTTAAGTCCCTTCCCCAGAGGGTCCACATGACCTAAGCACGTGGGTTCAGGATAGAAGTTCTGCACGCTCGTATTTGGGCGAGGTTTTGCTCACTATCTACTTGTACCATCAGGCTTTTCCGGCTTCCCGTAAAAGCTCTTCTTATGTGACGCTACAAACCCTTAAACTTTGCAAGAAATCCCCATATTCATTCCCTGAAAAACTCCCTATAGAGGGCCAGTTAACAGCCCTTCTTGAGCGTCCCGAAAGCCTACAGCTTGTCTTAGGCTTTACGGTTTAGCTAAACCCTAAACCCTAAACCCTAAACCCTAATTTAGGGTTTAGGATGAAAGCCCAAGGCTGAACTACGCTAAGCCCCAAAACCGGACTTTGAAGGGGCGACGTCGCGACTAGTTAATTTATAGTCTAAATTTAGGGTTATAGGGTTTGAAGTTTGGGGTTTGAGGTTTAGGGTTTAGGGTTTAGGAAGTTTAGGGTTTAGGGTTGTAGGTATCACAACCCATATAGGATCGAAATCCTTTTTCGGGCTACTTGTAAGTCTACTTAAGTACCTACTTCCTGAGTCCCCCGACCCTCCAGGTAACGCAGGGGCCTTAGTGATTAGAATAGGGTTTTGTGGTACATTATTATACTATAATTGTAATGAGGAGCCCCCAAAACCGTATTCAAATTGTTAATGCCCCTACATTAAACCCTACACCCTAAAAGCCCCAAAACTTTAAACCCCTAAACCGCTAAACCCTAAAACCCCAAAGCCCTAAACCCGAAAACCTTAAATCCGAAAATCCTAAATCCTAATACTAAACCCTGAAACCCCAAACCCTAAAGCCCTTAAAAAGGCTTCTGGATTGGCCCCGATTTCTGCGACGCGTCGCTGACGTCTGCAGCCGCTGAATCCTTCTCGGGGCTCGCGGCGAAGGCGTGGAAAAAAGGGCTCGGAAATAAAGGGGTCCTTAAGTAGAACCCTCAGGGTCCATGTAGAGTACCTATTATAGGGACTACTTTATAAGGCCTAAGTATATCTATTTGGGTACATGGGGCCTTAAGTAGAATAAAGGAGCCTTAAGTCGGTTTAAGGTTTAGGGGGTTGAGGGGTTTGGGATTTCAGGGTTTTTGGTTTAGGGATTGGGGTTTAGGGTTTGGGGTTTAGGGCTTAGGGTTTTTTTAAGTAGAATCGAGTTCTTTGAAAGTTTAATTTTCCTAAACCCTCAAACCCTAAAGCCTAAAACCCCTAAACCCTAAACCTCTACTGTAAGGGTAGAGTAGAGGCCTGCTTGGCCAGCCTGCAAAGGACATGTGGCATTTGTGGCTGTAGCTGCTGTAGCTTGTGTCCGACCGCAACCGCCGCAACCCTCAAGTCCAGGCGGAGTAATCCCCTAAAAAAAACCTAAACCCTAAACCCAGCCGGAGTAATAGCAGAGACTCTGGATGTTGCCGCCTGGCTCGGAGCGAGTCGTTCTGAGCTGTGTGGCTTCGTGAGGTGATCGGGCTTTCGGAGAATTGAAAATGGTTGTTCGATGGATCGGTGTGGAGCAGTGAACCCATACCAACAGAATCCATATCAAAAAAATCCTGTGTAGTGTGTTCATGTCTTGTTCTAGGTGCTGAGCTTTTGGGCGCAGAGTTGATTTCATGATGCAAGAAGTTTGTGTGACACCCACCCCCTTGCGCCCTCAGGACATAACTGCCTGACACAAGCACTCGTGAGGCTTTGTGCGTTGACTAAGCTCTTCGCTGGCCGGCAAGTGGCACACAAGATCTTACATCCCAATAATATAGTTAAGCCCAGGGCTGGCCAGACTATATAAGGAATGACGAGGGGCTTCGGTCTGCGGAACCCCTCAAGTCCGCTTCATGTACATTGTACTTGTTGATGTGTGTTTTATAAACTATGCTGTGCGACATGTTGGCTTCAGCGCCGTGTCTGCTAGCAGACATTTTCCAAATTTCACGTCACATGGCTCTCAGTTTAGGCCTACCAAACCCTAAACCCTAAACCCTAAACCCTAAACCCTAAACCCTATAAACCCTAAACCCTAATCCTAAGCCCCAGGACCATGAAGCCTACAGTCCCAAAGCCCTAAACCCCAGAGACTCCGAAACCCCTTAATTGAGGAATATCCTTTAAATGCTTATAATCTGAGCCCTACTTGTGATATGATTTAAGATATGGGTAGTTCTATAAATTTGGGTCCGTTTTTAGGTCGCCAGCGTATAGTACGACACCCTTATTATAACAAAAATAAGTTTGGAGAACTACCCGTATTCTTCCTAAGTTCAAGTCTTTTGGAGTCTCCGGGTCCCGAAACCCTAAACCCTAAACCCTAAAACCCTAAACCCTAAACCCTAAAACCCTAAACCCTAAACCCTAAGCCCCTAAACCCTGAACAGTACAGCCGCAAAGCCCAGCTCCCAAACCCTAAATTAGAGCCACGCTTTAGGGTTTAGGGTGTAGGGTTTAGGGGTTTAGGGGTTTAGGGTATACGGTTTACGGTTTAGGGTTTAGGGTGTAGGGTTCAGGGTTTAGGGTGTAGGGTTTAGGGTGTAGGGTGTAGGGTTTAGGGTTTAGGGGCCAAAACCTAAACCCCTAAAGCCCCAACACCCTAAACCCCATAAGCCTTAATTCACCCCTAACCCAAAAGCTCCTAGAGCCCCACCGTCCTAAATCCTATGCTTCCAAGGACCTCGGTTCAGGGTTTAGGGTTTAGGGTTTAGGGATTTTGGAAAGGAGCTTAAACCCCTTAAGGACCCCATAAATAAGCTGTTTGGAAGCATAGGGGAAAACCCTTGAAGGTAAACCCTAAACCGCAAGCCCTTAGACCCTGAGCCCTAAAACCCCAAAGCCCTAATGCCCCAAAGCCCTAAACCCCAATCCCTACAACCCAAAGCCTTAAACCCTAAACCCTAAACCCTAAACCTTTACCTTCAAGGGTTTTCCCCTATGCTTCCAAACGCTAAACGCCAAGCCCTAAGCCCCAAAGCCTTAAAAACCCTAAACCCT